ACAGATCCTGCCAGGTATCTTCAAGCAGTAACTAAACTCAGAACCTGTGTAATCCCCTTTGAAATACTGGTTTCTCCTTACATCTCCTTAAAGAGATGGTGTTCTGTGCTGTTATTTGAGTTACTGTGCTTCCTGTGTACTGGTGTGTGTTGAATTTATCATAGTAGTCAGAAAAGCCTTACTCCAAAAACCTGTTTTTCCTTAAAAACCCGTTTTTCCTTAAAAACCCAACCCTTTATTCATAGTCCTCATAGTTGTGATAACAACTTTGAAAATACGAGCCAGCCAGTGCAAAAAACTTCTGGCGAGTTTAAAGACCTCTTGAAACAACAGCACCAAGAGGTATGAAATACTGCATGCTTCTTAACGGAATGTTAATTCTTAACTCCTAAAGACAAGTTTGAGGGACATAAAGTAGGAAAAAAAAAATTAAATGTACCGCCGAAACAAAAACATACAAAAGAGAAAGTGTCTTATGAGCCTAGTCATGGTTGCTATTCAAAGCAAGTGGTTAACTGCAAGCGCACTTTTTACTGACAGCTACTATTCTGAATTTCCAAGCTGGTAACTGGCCACTCAGGTACCTCTCTTCTAATGGATAAATCAAATAACTTAGCAAAGGGATTTTCAGATCATATTTTTCTGATTTTTGAAAGTTCAACTGCACTGCAGGATCCCTCAGGAACACATTCAGTTTCTGCTAAAAGGCCAGCCACACACGTTTCATGCAGCATTTAAATCCCAGGTAAGCAATCCACAGACTGCAGACAGCCCTTTTTCAAGAGCAACTGACGTGAAAAATGGGACCTATTTTGTTCTGCTTTATTGAAACCAGAGACATCCCCAAATCAGAGTTATTTAAAACATTTATTAGCATTAATCATTGTAGGTTAAATAAAACACAAAACCTACATTTTAGGGAAAAAATATTATTAGGTATGATACAATTAATATGTAAAACAGAAGGTAAAGTATTAACAGATTGCAGCATCCCATACATGAAGCGAGTGGGTCCAGCCCAGTCAAAGCCCTTATATAAACAAAACAGAGGAAGAGTACTTAGCAGGTGGTTTTAAATTGACAATTTATCACTGACTCTGGTTTAAATAATTAAGGGTAGGATAGTAAAACGTATCATCATTGTACTGAAAAGGTCTGATTGTAGTCAGAGTGCTCACATGTCTAGTCTTTCTAGTCACGCGTATTACCACGTGCCGTGAAGGATTAGTGAAGAGAAGGGATGACAGGTGACTTTTCTAGGTGTTGATACATTCCCATGTTACACTGCAGCACTTTAGGTAGACCTGCTGTACCACGAACAAAAATAATTGACTTTTTTTTGTTTTCTTTTCTTTTTTTTTATCCTTTGGAGTGTCAGTTTATTACTTCTGAGTCCCAATTCTTGGATAATAGTGGCCTTTTTTAGATTTCTCAGTCTGCAAGACAAACTTTTTCTACAATATGCCATTTTCATGCATAAGAATGGCAAATCAACAATTGTACCTATGCATGTCTCCATCTTCTTGCTACCTTTGATCTGTAACTTTAAGTTCATAAAGTTGAAATGATCATTAACAAAAAAATAGACTTACAGAATACAACGTGCAGTATATGAGAACCAGACATAGTGAAAAAACACTACATGTCAGCATAACAATATAAAACTGTACTTATATATACACACATATGCAGAGCATATATGAAAACTAGTTCCTTCATAACCTTGTTTTTAAAATAGTTCATGACAAGCCATAAAAGCAAGTCACCCACAACTGGACAGTCACAGTCTTGAGTCACGGTGCAAACAAGCTCCACCAAACATCCTTGGCAGTGCAGCCTGTGCCTCAGTCCTGCTGCCAGCTCTCTTGAGAAAACAAATCTTGGACAAATCCAGCACCAGCTGGCCAACCTAGAACTGCAGCATTATTATTATTAATCATTATTATTATTATAGTAAATCAGCTACAGTCAGGTGCTCCTGTACAGTAATTTAGCTCTTCACAAGCCATTAACTGTAAGAGGAATTCCGATTGCTGCTGAAACTTTTGACTCCACATTTGGGGTTTTTTTGTATGTCATTCTTATGGCTGTTTGTGAAGGGTGGTGGTACTTTCCAAGCAACACAGGCAACAAAAGGAAGCAGAAATCATGAATTTTACATTTGAAAATCACAATTTTTCCCCCATTTAAGAGGCATGCTCAAGCTGCACTTCAGCTTTGACAAATAGCAGAGAGGCAACCCCATCATCGAAGGCGAGCCTTGTCTTCAAAAATGCGAGCTGCTCTGCACAGCACAGTGGCCTGTTATTTTTTTCACCTGTGACTTCAGAGATCCATCCCTACTGAAGCTCACTGTAACCCAAAGCTCAAGAACTTATACAATCAGAATCCTTATTCATTTAAATCTTTTTCTTGACTAAAAGCAGAATAAGGTAATTTTGATTTGGGCCACCAAATGCAAAAAAATCTTTGAGCCTACTTAGCCAGCATTTGAATTTTAAAATCTGCCAGAGATCCACTGTAACAACTTCCAATTTTAAACTATTTTAACATGTAACTCATAAACCTGTTCTGATTCACATACAGCTCAAGGGCAGCTGTGAGAGCTGGCTGTTCAGGACAATATCCCAAACAGATCAGCATCAATTGCCAGTTCTAGCATAAATTAGTGTACAAGGTATTTGCAGAATTGTCTTACAAAGCTTTCAGGCATCTCACGTAGGGTTTAATGAGTTTTGAGATGTCACATTAAAAAAAAAAACATGCTGCAAAAATTTATGAAAGCTTAAAAATCAGTTATGCATAACTATTATAGGTTGAACTAAAATTTATGACACCTTTAAAAACATGGGTTTGATCTCACCTTGTTTTCTTGGTAATAGGTCTAGCCTTTTACTGGGTTTTATTTAGGAAGAACCACATCTCTTGCAGCATTGGGTCATAGATCCCATGAATTATATGAATCTGTTATGTTGATAAGTTTGATATTTCTTTAGTGCTGAAGGCCAGGTTAATTTCTCCCTCCCCAGCCAGGTGAAAGAGACAGGCACCCCTGGCAGACTTGCTTGTACTAGGATGGGATGAAATGTTCCCTAAAGGAGCCTGTCCCACTCCCCAACTACCAGCAATGACGATTGCTGAATTTTCACTTAAATAACCCTGGACTATCTGTAAAATAGTTGCTGCAATGAAGCAGCAGCACAGATCATATCTTAGCACAGGCGACAAAAGTTTACCCAAAATATCCTTTCTCATGGTAGCTATCTGAGTCTGTGTATTATCCCAGGGGGTATTTTCAAGTATGAGTACTTTCAAAGGAGTCCAAAATATCTGAGAAATGGATTATATGTGAAAAAAACAATGCAGTTTAGATTCTTAGATAAAATCCAGTGGGACATTTCCCACCTAAAACTACTTCAAGCCTTCTGAAGACAAAGAAATGTTCCCATTGATTTAATCTGGCTCTGTTCCAAGCCCTAATAATTACTGTCATTTTATCAAAGCAATCTCACAACCAGGCAATAAGGTCTGGTTTTTATGTATAAACATGGAAACCCAGCTCTAGCCTGCCTGTTCATGATTTATTATGGAAAGTTGTTTTTCCATTTTGTTCGCTTTTCATAAGTCCCCCAACAAAGGTGCAGTGAGGTTAACTTTCCTCCTAAGAGAGCAAATTAATGTTGTGGAATGCAGGCTAGGCTTTGGTTTTGAAGCCTGCATTTCTTACCCTAGTTCCGATTTCCAGTGAAATTGATGAAGATGATAAATTTGGATTCTATCATCTCAGTCACGCACATTCATAAAAGATGGAAATGAAGAACGCATACAGTTTTACATTATTTCTAGTTCATAACCACCTATTGGGATTCTTTTTTCCTACACTATACTTTCAAGTGCATCAAGCTTCAAAGGTATCATGCAGTGGGTCTTCCATACTGCATCCCCACACAAGTGAGGAGACTACTCCACAAATTCACGGAATTACATTTGTAAAGAAACATTCTGGTTTGTTTTATTAGATTCCAGCCTTTAACCCCAAATTGTATTGTGCTCTCTTAAACTGTTTTTGTACAGAAGTATCATTCATCCAACTTGAAGACTTCTTGGAGTGCAGCAGTGGGACCATAAGGAGTGGGGCACTGTGGCACCCTCTTTTAGAAACCAAGGAAGCGGCATCTTTGAGCAGAGACAACTTTGGTGTGGGGCAGAGAGTTGGAGGAAACCTGGTAAGCAATGGAGATTAAGCTGGTATTTATATTCTTTTTACGATTTTAGTAATTAATGAAGCCTACACCCTGGAAAGGGAATCAATTCAGGCAAAGCACAGCAGCTGCATCTTCGCTTCTTTCTGGAGCAGACTGGAACTGCATGGGGTCCAGCAGTCTCCTTCATGACAACTCCTCCTTTCACATACACAGCACCTCCTGACACAGATTTTGACTTCTGGCCTGTAAAAATTGCACTCGCTCATCCTTTGGATCCATTTTTTTCTGGTTAGCAAATTGAGTCCATTTCTTGATGTTTACTGAAAGTACGAGATGAAGCTATAGATTTAGAAAAATACCAAAGCAGAGTCCAGCTAGAAAGATGGCAGAGAAACTGTAAGCAAAAATTCAGGCTTTATGGGTTTTTTTCACCCTATTATTACAGAGAGAACTCTAAAAAACATGCCAAGTCCACTTTGCAATGTAAAAGAAGTTTTTGCAGCAAATCTAAATTTTATATATAAAAGGATCTTTTTATTAAAAAAAAAACCAAACCAAAAAAACAGTCATTGGTTTAAACAGAGAATCAGAGTACTTCATCATTGTAATTTTGACAGGATATTAGAGAGGATTTTCCAACTAGGTTTTGCAAAATCCCTTTGAAGTAAAGCTTTCTGCTTCTGGTCCTTGCATTATTGCTCATGGGAAGTATTGAAATTACTGCTTTCAAGATAAGGAGTGATGTCGCTGAGATCATGAAGTCCTTTCCCAGTGAAAAGAGCAAATGGTGCTGTTTTTCAAGTAAATCTAAAAAGACCAAGTTGGGTCAGCAGCATCGCCTACCCGTTTGTGAAGTCTGCTTTCCAAGTTTGATTGCTCCATTGTTACTGTTTTCATGAGGATCTAAGGGTGGAATTTGCCGACCTGAAACACACAAGGAGACAGTGAATTCAATTTTCATAATGTAGTAAACAACACATGCAGGTAACAGAATGATTTAGCTTGCATAAGAATTACATCTGTGAAAATTCACCAGAAAACAACTGTCTCCTGTGTACCTTGAATCGTTTTTCTTGCATCCTGCTTATGAAAGAAGATTTTCACATTTTAAAAAATTTATGAAATATGGCTATTGAGAATGCATGAAGTACACTGAAATTATGTTATCCATGTATTAAAAAAAGTTATCTTACTGAGCACCTTACAACTACGAGAAAATCCTTGGCTTTCTCCTAATTCCACTTAAATGTGAAAGGTGCTAGTTTAATGAGATCTTGCCTGTCCTAAATCTGCATGGCATTTAGTCCTTGTACACTAGAGTTTTACAAAGCACTGTAACTAAACACATGCTGCCTATACTTGCAAAACAAATCTGTTCTTTTCATTGAATCCCTCCCTTCTTTGAGGGGTACCCGTGTCTTTCCAGTTGACAGCTCTGATTGCTTAACACCCCCCCCCCCCCCAAACTCTCCTGACCTTTTAATCATCTTATGGGGTGATTACTTTTAAGTGTTGAAAGAATTTCAGCCATCACAGGAGATCTCTCCCAGGGGCAGAAGGCACTGCTCCAACTCCCTCCCCTGTGTGCACTTTCAGTACTGCTGCATCTTTTGTCTAACTGGCTTCCTGCTCATGGACTACATACAATGTGCTTAATAATTAGAATTATAAATGGAAAAACAAGGTCCTCCCAGGTCCCATCTATCCTCTGTCTCTGGTGTGGGCCTGGCTTTTCCTTTAAACCCACTGCACGATCCCTCCATCAGTATCTCAGAGAGCTCACAGTCATGGTAACATACTTTCTCATTACCTTGTGGATTTCCTGGAATTTTTTTCTGAAGCTGAATCTACTTTCTATGAATTGCTCCTGGTTTTACTATTACCCATGTTAAATAACAGAGTTAAAATATTTAACGTTTGTTTATGCCACTTTCAGAGAGCATAAAGTTCCTGTGAACAGCTCATCATAATCCAGGTGGATTTTACAGTTTAGATTTCCCCACCCTTTGCTGCATTTATTCACAGCTCTCTCTTGCCAAATGTTCTATGAATTATGTACCTATGTTGAAGCCCAAGTCCTACAAATTACTTGGGGGAATGGTTGTGGGAGGCCAAGTTAAAAGCATTCGGGTAAAACCCAATCATAATGAAATCAAACAGCAAAATTTAATCTGTAAAACTTGTCCCTAAATTACCTTTGGTCAAGCCCATCAAAATCTCACCTCTCTTAAGTCAGTCAATTCTGAACAGGTATGTTATACAACAAAAGTGTTACTTGTGAAGCAGATAATCTTGGGTGTTTGTACAACTGACTAAGAGGGGGGAAATTCCTCACATTACTAAGCTAAAGATACTGTAATTGGTCCAACAGAGTGAGAAATGGGTATCTTGAAGGCTGAAGCATGTGTAAGCACTGACATTACAATGCTGCACTCGATTCAGGTCACTAAAATATTAACTTCACACTCTGCTTATGTTCTGTTTGGACTTCATGTTTGTAAGTGCCCTTTCAAAGTAAAATAAAAAGCAGAATAGGTAGTTGTAGACACAGCTGTTACTTGTATCAGTTCCATTGGCTTTGTTTGGAGACAAAGAGAATCCACTAATTCTTAAAACTCTAGAGAATATGAAGAATGTAGTATCTGTGAGAGGCTTTCCAAGAAGGTAACACTGTCATTGTAGAGACCTGCAGAGAACTTCTGCATTAGGTACTTACTATTTCCGAAGTGCTTTCAACTCAGTGCCAGCTGAAACAAAGCCCTGTCAACCTGACTCAGACCACGATGTAGCTAAAAGAATTGGAATCTACAGGCACAGTTTCCATAAGATACCATTAGGCAAATACTCTCTAAATGTTTGGTTCTTCTAACAGCAAGTTTGGAAGAGAGTTTTAACATGCAAACTACCTTAACTTTGATTTTAGAAGTCCGCATTAAACAATCATGTTACCTCTATTTGTTTTTTCATCAGCGTTCCATATTTCTTATGAGCTTCAAGTCTTTTCTACAGTACTCTTGATGTATATGCAAAGAAGCAGGCAAACTTATCTTTAGAGCAAAAACATTGCAGGCTTCAAGGTCAGCAAGCACTTTGTCCAGTTCAGACCAGGACACAATATATGTTGTTAAGAATCACATTGATTTATTTAATTTCTCAAGATGATAAAAACCACACAGATAATGACAAATAATAAAGAGAAAAAGTCTCTAGACATAATATCTGCTGATTAGTTATTCTGGCCTTTAAACTTAAGTAGTGTTTGTCATTTACTAGCCATGTTTCTGCTGTTTGGATACCACCCACCACTCCCCGCCCCCCTCCAAATTCAACGCAAGGAAATAAACCTTTGAACAGTCAAGTTTGAGAATATCTTCTTTTAGTAGGTGAGTTTCTCTCACTTATTATTTCTCTTATTACCAGATTTATTAAACCATCAAGTTAAATCATTTTAGTTTTAGTAACAAGATTTATCCCCACTGAAGCAGCTTTTACCACCTGATGCGCAGCTGACAGGAGTAACTCTCTTGGAGCATAAAACTCAGTCACCAACACCTGAGAACAAGCTCCACAGCAAATACTACAGTGATTTGTTACCAACAGCCAGGGGAATTGAATAAAAATAATCAGTCAGAAATCTACTTGACCAATGGTCTCTCCCTGGGCCTCCTTGACAGCTAGTCTCACAGCAGACACTGTAACAGAGAAAGCTTTAAGTAGCAGCAGAACACTAAGGATGAGCAGTAAGATGCTGAGCCTGCATCTACACTTCCTGCTTCTAAACCAGCTCAATCACTATTCCTACCTAAAAGCACTGCGATCATCTCATCTTGTCATTCAGCTCATGATAAATATGGCATCATATTGCTGACACCAACTAAAATACAGCTAGCACTGAGTCAGGATCAACAGAGGTCATAAACTGAATTAATTTTAGAAAGTATCTACTCATTTAAAATGTATATCTCACTGGCATACATAATCTCTGTTCCAGAGCAATAAAAAAATCCCCCTGTATTAGATAACCTACAACATTGTTTATGCTATTTCTTTCATGCAGTTGATGCCAGAAAGGAGCAGTAGTGCTCTGACATCCAGCCCTGCAATTCTCCCGCTGAAGTAGTAACAAAGATTAAGACAATTCCTCTTCAAACCAAAGACAGCTCTGTTAAGACAGAGTCAGCTCCAACGGTCCATGAGAGATTGAAATCTTCTGTTGCTTAACTTAAAGATGACAAACTAGACCATAAATAGAGTCTTTTCTCCATTTTGCAGAGCAAGACACAACTAGCCAGCTTGCCAAAGACCACCAACAGCACATCTTAGGATTCCAACTGAAACGGTCAATCGCACAGAGAAAAACAGATGCACATACATTTATCTAAGAACTCTGCAGCTGAACTGGTGAAATGAAGAACTTGGGGATATATTATTACTGAGACAGTATAAAAGTTCCATATGGTTCCCATTGCTGATATTTCTATGGAGTGAGGTCTACTGACTGCAATTTAAAAATTAGATTTTTCACTTTAATTAAATATCTGATTATATATTTTGGTTTCATTTCACTAATGTTTAGACCATGTTTCACAGATTTTGTGCACCAAAACTGTTTGTAAACATGCACCTCTACAGATTCCTCCAGAAGTCTTGCTGTCCTCCATGATCTCATTCCAGCAAACACACCACGGTGTGTAAAAATAATAAGTGTCACAAGAGACTGCTCAAATGTAAGGTTACAGAAATTGTCATGGTTCTGAAGTGAACCATCCAGGTTAACAGGTGGGAAGCACTAAATCAATTGCATCTCCTCCTTTCTAGCACAGTTGAGTTGGGCTGAGGCAGTCCAGGATGAAGGTCAGAGTCTTCTCCAAGGCCTGCTAAGAGTTCCAACTCCAGCTATTGAATCTGAGACTTGTTAAAGAGATTAATTGGCACCCTGAGAGTTGCGGTTCTGAGAGTGCCAGAGGCAAAGAGATTGGGAAATGGGAGGCTGGGACAAGGTAAACAAAATGGGAAGGGAGAAAAATGAAGACTGGAGCAGGGAAGCAAGAGAGACAACAGGGACTGGGTGACAGCTCTGCGAGCAGAACTTGAAGGCAGGCAGATGGAGATTGCTCTGCTGCAGCTAGAAGCAGGACACATCATCACAGTAATAAAATCTGCTTTGTTCCTTTTTGAACGCAATGCTCCAGTTATAAGCTGTAACATCCATTAGCTCAGAAAAATCAGGCTTGGAGTTGGGATTTTTAATTTTGTTTGCTTTTTTAACATTAAACTAGTTTCATTATTGACCTGTACAAGACTGCGTGAAAAGTTGGAAACAGCCTTAAAGTTGAGTGTAACAGAAAAACCCAACTGGTTACCGTGCTGATAAAGGGACAACCACAACATTGGATTGAACAGATACTCATTCAGTGTGTAGTGGAAAGGAAAACAGATGTGATCGACCTGAGCTGGCACATCCAGATGATGAAGTCCAAGTCCCAAAGAAGCACAGTCCTAACACGTAACACAACTACAACAGTTCTGCTAAGGGTAAGAGGCCAGACATCACAGTACTGCACAGTGGCTTTCTGCACACTGGTCCCATCTGTTCTCTGTCTGAAAATCACGTACAACTGAATTTTTTTTAGGGGACTGAAGGAAGGGGAGATTTTTGCTAGTGCTGGATGTGAAATCCATTTCATTTGGCTCCAGAGCAGCAGCCTGACAGCCACCGCAGCATCCTGAGGATGTGACTACTGTGGCTTGCCTGAGAAAAGGCAGACTTCTTCAAGTAGTGGTACAACAGCTATACAATGGCCAGAACCTCCTCGTAAAATTGCTGGCTGTATCACAGCAAGGTAAGCCCCTGCAAAGCATTGCTCTCTGCAAATCACATCAATAAATCACAGCGATCTGTGAAGGCATGGCAGAATGAGGCA